TTGTGTCCGCTTCTTTTGTAATATGCTTATCACTGAATTCTAAGTCAGATCAGCGATTAAAAGTCTGAAGCTCTCACGATTCTGTTTAAGTCTCAAATTCCACTGGGATTACATAACAGTCAGTGGGATTACACAACAGTCAGTGGGATTACACAACAGTCAGTGGGATTACACAACAGTCAGTGGGATTACACAAGTCAGTGGGATTACACAACCATGGCCTATGTGATACAATACCAGGGTAGGTAGGATTACAATACCAACAGCACAACAACGGTAGCCACACCAGCAACAGAAGCATCAACAGCAGCAACAACAGAAGCAGCAGGAGCATCAACAACAGCAGCAGCAGAAGCAACAGCAGCATCAGACGACTGGGGAATATTTCTGTGGTAGAGAAGCAATAGATAATGGCTGGGTCAGTATTGGTCGCATTCCGAGCATCGCTCCTAGATTACTGCCATCACCTGTGTTGGGTGATTGTGGCGATGATGATGGTGGGTGATGGTGTGTGATGGGTGGTGGTGGGGATGGGTGGTGGTGTGGGATGGGTGGTGGTGTGGGATGGGTGGTGGTGTGTGGTGGGTGGTGGTGTGGGATGGGTGGTGGTGTGTGGTGGTGTGTGGTGGGTGGTGGTGTGTGGTGTGGGATGGGTGGTGGTGTGTGATGGGTGGTGGTGTGTGGTGGTGTGTGGTGGGTGGTGGTGTATGGTGGGTGATGGTGTGTGATGGGTGGTGGTGTGGGATGGGTGGTGGTGTGTGGTGGGTGGTGGGTGGTGGTGTGGGATGGGTGGTGGTGTGTGATGGATGGTGGTGTGTGGTGGGTGGTGGTGTGTGGTGGTGTGTGGTGGGTGGTGGTGGGTGGTGGTGGTGATGGGTGGTGGGTGGTGGGTGGTGGGTGGTGGGTGGTGGGTGGTGGTGTGTGGTGGGTGGTGGGTGGTGGTGTGTGGTGGTGTGTGGTGGGTGGTGGGTGGTGGTGTGTGGTGGTGTGGGATGGGTGGTGGTGTGTGATGGGTGGTGGTGTGTGATGGTGTGTGTGTGGGTGGTGTGTGTTTGTGTGGTGGGTGATGGTGTGTGATGGGTGATGTGTGTGGTGGGTGGTGGTGTGGGATGGGTGGTGGTGTGTGATGGGTGGTGGTGTGTGGTGGGTGGTGGTGTAAGATGGGTGGTGGTGGTGGTTGTAATAGGTGTTTACCTAACAGTGACTGCAGGGGAGTGAGGTCCAGCACTAGGGAAGGCTGGCCAGAGGTCAAGGTGAGGGAGTACAGGTACTCTCATGAATCGTCTACAGGTAATCAACGATTAACAAATCCTTTATTTCGAATTCTTTATCGAATCTGGCCTTAAATTCTTGGATGGAGGTGGCTTCTACAACTTATTCTTCAGTGCATTCCACTTGTTGACCGCCCGTAGAGAGACGAGTATTTCCTTGCATTCCTCCA